TATTTGGTAATTATATTATATTTATATTTATTATAGATATTAATAAATAACTAGTTCCTATTTTGTTTTCTTAGAATATTTACAATAAGGAATTAACGTTCGACGAGGGATTGTTGTTTTTACATACACGATTTATTCCGTATAATATACTATATAAAAACAATTTGTTGTGCATATTATGGATAAAATATTAATTCATAATAATCTATAGGCTGTCACCCAGTTATACTTTTAACCAATAATATACAATTAAATAACCTAAAATAGTTTTATTTTGTACTTTTGCAGTCGATAAATTTAGGTAACTAAATTTAGGGGATAGGCATACTAATTCATACAAATTGACTAAATATTTAGCAAAAAAAAAAAAATATATGAATTTCGTATGTGGGGGTGCTGATCTGGGGACAGATACATAATATAATATGCGTTTGCATAATATTATATATAGATGAAAACGTGTACGTTTTTACAAGATTTTAGATAACATTAAACAACAACAAATATTTGTATACACGCCTATATTAGGTTATTTAACTTGAAACTATGAGGTATTACACATTTTGCGTTTTTTGTATAGTGCCTTAGGAGGCCTAATCCACTCTACTTATACTTATTATGTTATGTAAAAAGCTAATTACTTAATTCAAAACTGCCAAAATACATATATATATATTACTAATTACAAATACCTATAAAACTTTGTTGCTTCCACCGTGAAAGTTGTATACTACAATCTTTTGATTTATGAAATGCAGTTTGTTAAAAACCCGAAAAAGGCTTAAAAATTGATTTAAAAATGAAAACATTTTTAAAATTTCTAAAACACTAGTATTTGAAAACTCTGTTGAAAACTATCAAAACTACATTAAAGCTGTTAATGAACTGAAGATTATTGGACAATATAAAACTAACTACGGTAAAATCACTATATTATGAAACAAACATATTTATAATATATAAATAGATTTTCCATAAAAGTGAACATACTATATATTTTATATTGTAGCCAAAATTTGATCGTTGAACAATGTACATTAGATGCTGTAGTAAGTATATCCCGTAGAAATTGTAAGTATAACTACCTAGTGTCAAATCGACATTTGTATATACTTACCGATACAGATACACAATTACGATGATACAGTAGTACACCACCGCCGATTTTCGAGTAACTGAGAAAATAATTTGCTTGGCAATTAATTCTTATAATAAATAACTAAATGTATAGCCAAAATTAAGAAGAAATTCGAATATTTTTTGTATTAAATCGACGCTTAGCTTCTATAAGTAATTTTGTTGCTAGATTCTTGTTTTGTTTCACCAAAGGTAAATTATGTATAACTATTTGAGATTTAAATGAAATGGTTATTATTGTAATAAAAAAATAATTTTTTTAAGAGTTTCATGTAATTAAAAATTTTTAATATTTAATTAAGTTCTGTCACAATGACATTAAAAAAAATATATTAGGGTGAAATAATACATTATAAATATTTATATATTAGTAGCAGATTCTTTAATACATAATTTTTGAAAAAAATAATAACAATGTAAAAATATTTAAAAATTTCAAAAAAATATGAATTGCATAAAATATTAAATTTAAATTGATATTGATTTTAATTCCTTTAATTAAATTAATTAATTTAATTAAATTAATTAATTTAATTAAAAATCGACTAGAAATTTTTTTTTTAAATTTTATAAAAATTCATATTTTTTTAGAAATTGATTGAAAAATATGGCTCATATTAAATTTAATAGTGTACTTCGCAAAATAATAATGAATGTGAAACATGTGTAATGAAATTGACTATTCAATTAGTCACATACCCGCTTTAAATATAGAGATGTAAAAAAATTTAAAACAATGTCATTAATTTATTTCCCTAACGAGTAAAATTGTTCAATTTTTTTTTTTTAAATAAGTTAGAAGTGATAACATTTATATAAATAGAAACATCGTCAATAGCGTGTTTTTAAAAACCGTTTTAATTTTAATAAACGTGTGACTTGTCTACTAAAAAGCACATAACTCTCGAACAAGCATATTGCAGTTATTGCAAATAGATTTATCTATAATTTTATCAAGTCTATTGGCAATAGATGAGCACACACTTTCTCATTAAACCATTGTATACAAATTCGGGCTCCGGTTAATAATATTAATAAAATAATTTAAAAAAAAAAAAAAAAAATGTGAGAAATACCAATCGCATTTCGCGTTTACTTTTGAACAAGTTAAAGACGTTTAATTTTAAAATCTCGGTAGGTCTCCGATCGTTACATAATATGAAGACAATGAAGACAGACGTAATCATAAAATACCGGTACATTTATGTAGTTTTTGTCTCTCTTTAACAAGTTTTGTGGGATACACATTTTTTTGCTAACAATGGTTAATTCTCAAAGACGCTTTCTACATACAAAGTATCAATTATTAATAATAAATTGGTCAATTAAAATTGTACACTAATATATTGGTATTGAACTGATGAAATCGTACGACGAGTGAATACGTTTTACGGATACATTTTATTACCTCATCCGGTCCTATCCAACGCAAATATTATTGTTTCTCGCGCTTTGATTATAACATTACATTGATAATATTATTATCGTGTTGCATGTCTATGAGCCGGTACCTTTTTACTCTCGTATGCCGTGTTTTCACATAATCGGTCACCGAATTTCAAAACGGAATATAGTTTATCAGCGTTTTATGATCACTACTACTACTTCGGAAATCGTTTCGTATGAACAGTATAATGTCATGTTATTTCACCGAAACCGATGATAACTTTGGTTAGTAGTTCCGTCAAGTTTGGTGTGGAACAATATTTTTCTATTCGCACTGCGTCGACTTCTATCGAGGACCTGACCTTCGTTTCGAAAGACGAGCGCGCCTAAAAATTAAAATACGGCGTGCGTTTCGTGCGATTCTATCGAAGACCTCCGGCGCGGTTTTCAAGTTTTCCCGTCCGAACTGTTCTGTAAAACCAATGGACGCGCGCGCGTCTTAACTCTGAAATTCCAAAAATGGACTATGTACGAGTATTGGGTTAACGTGTTACTGTTGCGGCGTACGCGCTGGGTAATCTGGGTAGCTTTCTCCCGTGGCACCGGTGTGTATCGTACACGTGATAAAATATGAACTTCCGGAGATCGCGGTCGTTACACCGCTGGCCGGGACGCGGACCTAGCCCGCAAGGAGTGTTCGGTGAAAAAACCGTATTGGTTTAAAAACGATTTCGAAATGAAAATAAAAACGTCGACCGCGGGCGATTCACAGGGCCACGCGGGTACTTGTTGACCGTGGGCCGCGTACGATTGTTGCCGGACGACGACGACGACGACAGCGCGTAAAGGCTGACACGACGACGTGGCCTGGAGTCATCGACCTGTTCGTCGAAACTGCTTTGTCACGTATAACGACGTACGTGTACGCACGTGTGCGCTCGCGCGCGCGCGTGCCCTTTTGCGGCATTTTGCGTTTTTTTTTTTTTTTAAGGATGTGCCGCCGGTTCATCTCCTCGTCGTCCATAAACTCGTTCGGATGACGTACAGGCGAGGGTGCGCGTGTACAACGCGTAATATATTGTGTTGTTGTTCGGTACACGCCGCCGGGTCTTCTTGCGCTGCTGACAAAGAACATTATACGTCGTAATCGGAACGATCGGTAAGGTGACCGTCGTTTCGGTAGGTATACGTTATTGTTGTGGGCGACTGTTACGCGGGTTTTCGAATTGTTATACCGTCCGACCCTCTTCTAACGGACACAGGTCGGTCGGAAGGATTTCGACGGTAACGTTTTCGCCGCCGCCCCCCCCCCCCATCACTTGATCAGGGTAAAATAAATTTCAAGTAGTATTTATCTGTATGTGCTGTCATAATTTTTTTGAAATTTCAAATATCCCTATACTTAAAATTCAACTAGTCGGAAACGGACGGTGAGAAAGAAAAAAAATCTTTTCGCGTCGTTCGAAATGCGGGAACAGCGATGATGAAAAACGGTCGGACTGCTTCACAATAAGATTACGGTCGGATCGTGAAATCGTATTGATTCGCTGCCGCGCACGCCCTAGTGTGCCGTCCGGCATAGCGTTTCGGGCAAAATGTTGACCCGAAACTCGTTGGGGAACTCGTCGCGCGAACAGTTCCGTCGAACGGGTAAAATTATTGTTCGTGTCATTCTTGCACGGGGCCGTTCCCAACAACTGTTCCCGCCGATCACGCGTTATTATTCTAATACGGTCGTCCGCCGTCGCATGCATTCTCGAAACGCATTTCGTCCTTGTTCTTTCACACCGGACGGTTGATTGACCGGGCGCGCGTATAAATTCCGCCCAAAAACTGTAAATTCCGCCCAAGATGAACTACAGGTAAAATAAGGTACGTGTATATTCCGCAAAAAAAAAAAAAAAAAAAATACAAGTAAAGAAACATACATGCGAATTCCGCCCGAAAAAAATTTATAGTCATAACCACCTCCCACGTATAACTCATAAGTATATTTTAGATTCTAACTCCAAAACTGTCTAATAATACTAAAAGCATATTTCCACGTTCTGATTCTATGAATTGAGCCATTATAGCGTGTAAGCGTATAAGACTCTAGGACGTGTACTGAACACAGTTTATAATATTTTCATCCGATGTTTCCGACTATTGGATCCGCAACATGTGGCAGAACTGATAAGACACGACATGATTGACAATCGAAAAATCCATTTTTGTGCCTGCATATTTTTTTTTTTTTGGGCGCAATTTACGTGTACATTTTTTACTTGGATGTTTTCCCGGGCGGAGTTTACCATAGGCCTTGTTTTTACCCGTTCATTTCGGGTGGCATTTACGATATCCCGATTGACCTCCGTGTTCACGATTCTTTCGGACAGTTTTTCCCCCCTCGGCTGCGACTTGATCACGGCCACGGTGTTATACGGCTGTCGTTATCTCCGAGCCGTATCGACGCTTTATTAGCTTGTGCGCGTTGAGACGCGAAAGATTGTTTCGCTGCCAGTACAAACCACTCGTCGTCGTCGATTTTCAAACGAAAGCGCTCTTGGATGGCTGCCGGACGAGACTCTTTAACCGTTCAACTGCGGTAGTTTTAGTGAACGCTTTATGTTCGAACGTTACACATTCTAAGGGCTACGATGAGCAGTCATTCTTCCTAAAAATTTTAATGTTGCAGTTTTAAAGTTTCAAAACTCAAAAAACCGGAAAATAAAGTACAAAATAATAAAAAAAAATGCTGTGGTAATGCAACTAATTTTTGATTTTAATTGAATATAAAAATAAAGAATGTATTTAATTTTTAAAAAAAATGACAGGATTATATAATTACCAGATATTTTCATTTTTTTTTTTTTTACTATTTTCGTTTTTCTCCGTAGCCCTTCGTTTGTTACGATTAAAGTTTCTATTCGTTGCATTTAATAGCAAGTAACGAATACGATCAATAATATTTTTTTCTACCAGCTGTTTTAATTAAAAAAAAACTAATCTAATTTGGAGGTCAATAAATGTTTAACAGATGATCGTCGTCAGTGACATAGAACGTTAGAGATACATATTTTAAAGGTCCCGAGTTTCAACGTTGTTGTATGATTGTAAGTTATAAGATTTCTATTTATACGATATATTTTATCATACGAATACTTAAACCAGCGGTTCCCAACTTGTGGTACGCGGAAAATTTCTTTTAAGAAAAATATTTTTATGATTATTATTATTACCATTCTATATTATTTTGTTTATTTGATATTAGCCGATTTCATAAACATCTACGGCATACGAACAAAATGAACGCAGAAGACAACTTAAGACTTAAAGTTACCAACATGTAGCCTGGTATAGGCGTACTGATTCATTCAATACAACATTAACTGTCTCATTAAATTATTCATTTATATTCCTTTTAATTAATAATGATTGTAAATATTTTTCTTTACGCTATTTTTTGTGCATTAAACTTTTGTGTAATTTTTAGTATAAATATATATTAACTTTTAGTATAAATTAATCAATGTATAAAAAAGGCTAAACAAATGTAAAATAATGTAATTTTATTTTTTGATAAGTATAAAAAAATAAAGGTTATTAAGTCAAGTTGTACGTGAAAATTTTTCAAATCGTGTAAGTGGTACAAGGATATAAAAAGGTCGGGAATCGCTGACTTAAACTCTATGCACCGATAATTGTACGTATAGTAGTACCCATTCCAATTCCATGATGATTTCATTTGTAACCCGATATCAATGGGTCGTGACATTATATCGATATAAATAAAAACATAACAGTTTTGAGTATTATATTAACATTGAGTTTTTATGTATTGAAATCAAATGTAACAGTACCGTTTATAAAACAGTCACTGTTATTTGATTGAAATGTTATTAACAATTTCACAACTGCACAAAGTATATTTTCAGATAAATGTATTCTTCTCTGATATTTTATACAGTAATCTCATAACTATTGAAGTAATCCACAAACAATTTATATTTTATATTTCGGTTGAAACTTTATAATTTGATCAAACGTCAATTGAACATTTTTAGATGAACTTCTTCAAGTCAGTCAACAATTATTTTTTTGAAATTTTCATTATGCCTGATAAATATCACTATATAAACTTGATCATAGACTTAAACAGGGGGGAGGGTGAGAGACGGAAACTGTCCTACCTCTAATAATTTAATGATTAACGCCCCCCTTGGTATATTTTAAATCAATTAGAAAAATATTATAGGAAAGACATTTTAGATATGTGAAAATTACTTTACCAATAAATATATATAATTATTTGAACTATTAATTATAAAAAAAAATTGAATTGATTAATCATTATGTATTTGTTCAATTGCATTTGCCATCACAATATATCATGATGCAGATCAAGTATATCTAGTTTTTAAATATACAGTATATCAACATGAAATAAAATTTGCCCACGTTACGCTCATGAAGTTAATGTAAATACTATGAACTTATGAAAACTAGTTCTGAAAAAGAAATAAATAGGTCTAAATTAATATAGAAAACAAATTATTATACCATCCACAAGTTTTTATTATTATCAAATTTGTTTGACTATAAAAACTACTCTAAAGTGTACTTTAAAATGCGCATGGAATATTGAATTATATTCATGTCATTGAGTGCAAAAAATATAACCACTGATTTTTTATGTTATTTATCAATTAATTGTGTGTCTATGAATAATTTTAATTTGAATCGAATTTTTTTTTAAGCATAGTGATTAGAATCATAAACGTATTTCGTACAGTTAAGTTTTTTCTCTAAGGTACAAAAGTAATAATGTTTAAGGGGTTATGTATAGGCAATTTTTAACAAGCGTTTTTAGTGTGAAAAATTCAAAATAATTCACATACTATGTACCCGAAAACCGCATACGTTTTTTTCAACCGTTGTTTTGTTATCCTTATCGAACTAGACGACGCTGCAGTTGATACGGATAACTTTAATAAAACAAAAAAAAAAAAAAATCCTTTTTTATTATTTAAAACAGAACTTGAGTGTTTTTATGACTAACCATTGAACATGTATTCAACACAGACACATGTTATCAAATGTGTATAAATACTATGGTTACTCAGCACATACACAGGTTAGGTTAATATGGTCTCAATAATCCAAACACAGGCTAATCCGTTTAAATAGTATAATAAATATGTATGTGATCATCATAATAGTAGTAAATATGTGTATATTTTAAATTACAAGGTTCATATTATGTAATTAATATTATATTAACTGGCCAATATGTACATACATACATATATAAATAAAATATTTTTTTGTATACATTGTCTTTTTTAAATTACCAGTTTTTACATGATTAAAACAGATAAAAATAAATTTCATAAAATTTAAATTCGTATTTTAAATTACAATAGAATTGATGTTTTTATTAAGCTATAGATCAGTGGTTTCCAACCTTTTTTATTCCCCCCTTGTACATTTTCAAAAATCTCATTCCCTCGTCCTTTAAATTAGAAATAAGATGACCTTTTTTTAGTAAGCCGTACAAAGAAAATTTTGCAAAATAACTATATCTATATATTTTATAATTGATATTACAAATTGAACTTTGTATGCATTAATATAAGATTACCTGCGAAGAGGTCGTAAAATACTCGTATAATAAATTGTTATCGATGGGCAACAGTTCGAAAATTAATTTGTTTTTGATTTTACGTACACCGTACGTACACATCAATGGCCCTCATATCATTTTCAATCGTATTATTTTTTGGTTTTCTCCTTCTTATTTTCTCTTCAACGTTCATTTTCATAACAACTCTTACTGCTGTTTGTTTCCTTTCGTCTCATCACATGCTCAAACTATCCCAGTGCATTTTCTCTCATTTCTTTTACTACAGACACTACACCAATACTACCTCTCACATATTCGCTCCTTATTCTGTCTTCTCTAGTCACTTCACTCATCCATCTAAGCTTTCTCATTTTCGCAACACTCATACTCTATTCTAATCTCCTATCAACCGCTCAATACTCCGAACCATAGTTGGTTTAACATAGTTGGTCTCACTGCCCTCCTGCAAAATTTATCATTCAACCTTATTGGAATTCTCTTATTGCATAAAACGCTCGACGCGCCTCTCCATTTCATCCGACCGCACTTAATCCTATTTTACATCCATACTAAGACCACCATCTTTTAGTACAAATGATCCTAAATATTTTAAGTTCTCGAATTCACCTGTCACATCACTACTTATTTTCATTGGTTTTGATACCCTCAACTTCTTGGTATCCTCCTCCAAAGTCATACTCTATGTTCTCTGTTTTATTTCTACTAATTTTTAATCTCTTCCCTTCAAGGACTAACCTCCACTCATCCAATATATTATTAACTTCTTCCAAATTTTCTTCTACCAAAACTATATGATCAGCAAATATCACACACACCAATCGGATGTCATCATGTTAATATGCAATATTTTCATCTTGAAGTAAGGCTTGCCACAAAACATAAGAAATTTCACTTTAAATTAACATTCAAACCCTTAAATCGCTGAAATCGCTTCTAATTCACTTCCTGGAAATTCCTCGTGATAACTTAAGTGAAAATGGTTTAGAAATGTATTATGTAATAAATAAATAAATAATTTAATAATTAATATTAAAAGAGGGTTGAAAAAAAATTAAATTAACGTTAGGTTCTAACACTGTATGACCTCGCTTCTCATGTATTTCATTACTGTGTTTTATTATGTATATATAAATTAAATTTACTTATTATATCTCGAAGTATAGATTGTAAATGTTCTTTTTAATAATAATAAAAATAAAAAAATAAGTAGCGCAAAACAGTAACACATTTTTGTTCATAATATAAATGTTGAAATCACATTGAAATTATGAAAAAATATAGAAAATAATCATTATCGATTCTACGATTACAGTAGTAACACTATGGTAAGAATAATAAATAAATAAATTTATTCAACTATCAATGGACTTACATCATATGTTATTTTAATTGATGTTTAACTCAATTACACGGAATATAATTTGCAGAGAGTGAAGCACGGCCTTTCCGTACTTCGATACTCCAATGCTGTGTTTTGTCATAATAGTAATAATAATAATGTCACTACTCAATCCTACTCCGAATCGTTTGTTCTTTGCCTTTGTCAAGTTAACTTTAAATATGTGAAACTCTATCACTACCTGGTATACTCACATTCGTTTCTGAGTAATAGTATAATTTATTTATTTATTCGTATGGCAGATCAAATAATATTTTATCAGCTAAATTCGTCCGCCGACAGTCCGTATTGTATCTCTTCAGATATGATATAACAAAGAAAAATTCCCCTAGCTTCATAGAAGATTTCCTATAATCTAGAAAATTAATATTTAATATTGTAATATTTTTTTAATTGCAAACAATAAATATTTACGCCCGGAGGCAAGAGTACAGTTTAAATATAAAGAAAAAATAGGTAAGAATTTAAAATATATATAATACTTTTTACTTTAAACATAAATAATTAGGGGGATCGAAAAAAAAATCAAAGTTTTCTAATGAATTGCAGTTATACATAATTTTATTTAAAGAAGAGTATAGGCTATAGTTTTGTTTAAATGGTTGGATATACGGATTAGTTAAGGATTAAGGATTAGTTGTTCGTATATTTATTATTATTAGGGACCGGATTTATATGCAAATGCATATATGTATTGGAATAAGCTTTTTGAAATGTGATCAGAATTGTCCCGATTTAGATCTTTCTTATTAAAATAACACTAATTTTACTCTGCATATTTTGCATATTTCAACATTTTTACCTATTAAATGCATATTCAATGCATATTTGTAGTTTTATAGTGCATATTATTATTAATAGCACATATATTCGTTTTCATCATATTTTCACGTTCGCAGCTACATAATATTGATATAATTGTGACCAGTCGTTATTTCCAAAGATAAGATTACATACTCATATCTCATATTATAGTCATAGATATACAACAGAGGCGGCCAAACTTTTTTCGGTCACGATCTACTAAAAATATACTTCATCTTTGAAGATCGACTTTCTTGAAAAAAATTTTTATAAACCAAAATAAAAGATAAAAACTATACAGATAAAACTTATCGACAATTTATTCATAACCACCACGATTAATTTTCGTGCACGTAGCCTAAAAATAAATTCTAACATGATCGACTCTGAAATCGTCCGTAATCGACCGTTTGGCCGCCCCTGATATACAACATATAAATATAGATAAATAATATGAAATTCAAGTGTCGACTTGAAGAAAAAATATTTTAAAAGATTTTTTTATACTTTTTTTAATACCATATTAATTAATACTTATTTTTACATTTATAATACATTTCACATATTTACACATAATTTTAAACAATATTTTAAGTGAATATTTAAGTAAATATTTAAAAATAAATACATATCTTACAGCATATTACAGCATTTTTAGAAGCATATTTTGAGGATTTTTTGTGCATTTTAACCGGTCTCTAATTATTATGTATGAAAATATGAATACAATTAATATGGCCGCTACGAGTGATTAAGATTTAAAAAAAATATTAGATAAATAAAGACTACTACATTAATACAAGTGTAAGCAAATCAATCATATAATTTGTGTTACCTACTTTATCTTATTGAACAAAAGTAAATTGAATTAGTAGTTTATAAAATATATATCAATATAAATCATTTCGTTTAAAATTACTATATATAAATGTGACATTTTTAATTTTTTAGTTATACTTAATCATTTTGTTGAACAATCGAATAACGAAACAAATAACCAACATTGATTTTTCTTTTTATATTGTTAGCTATTAGCAGAAAATAATATGTAATACTAATAGTGTTGTTCGTGTATTGAATACCCGTTCTGTTTCAAAAGTACAACAGGATAAAATAAATGTTCGACATTAAATTGACTGACTTCAAAACGACATGGAAATATTCTATTATTACGTGATAATAAATGTCTGTGTTATTTTATTGTTTTTCGGTTAAGAAGTAAACGAACTAATTTGTTTGATTTAAAAAGCAAGAAGGAGTATTGGGCTTTCGACGGGGAATCCTGGAACGCGAAAAATAATAATAATGTAGTAATGTTTCGAGGAAATCTGAAAAGTGTTGTTGCGCTGTGCAATACAATATCAAAAAAAAAAAAAAAAAAAATCCGTGAAAAATCGAGGTTCAAAATTATTATTTCAAACATTTATCACTATACCATCTAGTAGATGATCGGAAGGCACTGAAATCCTAAATGATTTAACGTCTCCGTCATACGTAAACTTCAAACGGTGGCACTGCAATGAATATTATACACTTTCACTGCGTAAATCGTCGTTCTATACCCGTAACCGTATACGGGCAAAACAATGTAGTCACGTATATGTAACACACATGTTTGTGCGTGTGCGTGCGTGCGCGTGTGTGGGTGCGTGCGTGTGTGTGTGTGTGTGTGTGTGTGTGTGTGCGTGCGTGTGTGCGTGTGTGTGTGTGTGTGTGTTTGTGTGCGCGTGTGCGTGTGCGTGTGTGTGTGTGTGCGTGTGTTTGTGTAACATAATGTAGCCTCTACTGCTCGAGCGAGATTGACGTCTGACCCGCGGTGTGACGACGACGACCGCGACGGTTGCACGGAACGCAGTATTGGACCAGCGTCCGCAGCGCACGAACCACCGCCGCAGACAGTCGAACCCACGCGCTGAACCCGACCGCGATCCGTCGCAGGACCACTGAAACGACCGTCGGTGAACACCGGGATCGTACAACATTATCATCGGGTGACGCTCGCACGACGATTGTTTTTCGTTCCCGTTCATCCCGTCCGGACGCCATGACGAGACGACTACTCGCGGTTTGCGCACTGGCGCTGCTCATCCTGGTCGCCGGATGCTCCAGCAGGCCTCAAGACAAGCCGCTGACCAAGGACGACGGGGCCGCCAAGCCGCAGGACAACGCGGCCGCGCCGGCCGCGATGCCCGCCACGAACAGCCGGATGAGCAGATTGCAAAAGCAGCCCTCGCAAGGTAAAAACGGCTCTCTAAACGAGAACTCAAAATAACAACAACCCAAAAAAAAAAAAAAAAAAAATCGCTTTTATCCCCATGCAACTGTTGTTAATTCATAAGAAACGATTGGTTTTCCCATAGCGCTGAGCACGGGCTTCGACGAGATCGTCGTAGAGTCGAATCTACAGGTGCATAACCGAGTGGGATCGAAAAACAAATCGAAAATCATGTTGCCCTCGAACTCAACTTCTGCCTCCGCTCCGATGACCAACAAGTCAGCCAGGTCTTTGGTGTTGTGACGCGCACAAGCCACGACGACGATGATCAATTTTTACGCACCGCGATTCCGCTAACCCTATACAAATATATATATATTTTAGTTTTTAAATCGGTTTTAATGTAATTTTAGCAACGTTCCCAGTACGGAGCGGGCGCCCGACTACGAGTTGACGAAATAATGTCTAAGAATGTTTGTAATAAAAGAAAACAAAAAAAAAAATTACATACCCGTTCGTTTATATCTTACCGTCCAGTACGGAACACCGGAGGTCGTGTCGTAACGGTCGAGTTGCACCACCGACACAAGGGCTCATTTGCGTGTATTGTTCAAATGAAATCGCGACGAAAGTACGAATCGTACCAGCGAACGTGGTAACCGCGGTCCGAACGCAATGCGTATTACACTATTCTTATCGATATTGCCTTTGGATCTACACAACAAACGACTAACTTACGCGTTGTCTTATCACATTTTTCCTGGTGTTTATCAGTAGATTTATCGTTCATGCGCAACGCGATTACAGTTTGCAGCAACAGGTACACGTTAAAAAAAAATAAATAAATAACAATAACAAAAATGAAAACCGGTAAGTATACGGTACTACAAGTCCCTATACCGGGACTAGGTTTCTATTACTGTTCCGGCGCTCCCTTCAGATGGAAACGCGTCACGACGGTAAACGAACACGTTACGTCTGCTTGAATTCACTTGCTGCCATACGTTTATCCGCAGCGGTGAACATAATCCGCATTCGGCGACTGCATATTTTCAGTCTCTCGTCGCTCGCGTTACGTACATAACAACAAGAAGAATAATTAAGTTACGGTAAACACGGTTAAAGAAAGTTTTGGTTTACAACGCGTTCGCGTTAAAAGAAGTAATATTGCATCTTTCGAGAATTATCTAACGAGCGCGCGTACACACAATACACGTACATAATAATATTATACAGACGTGTACACAAATAACAAGTTTATTATAATCCGGATTGTAAACCATATCTACCTACATAAGTTTTCGGGGTGATTATTTTGTGTTTGTTCAATAAGAAATAAAAAACTAAACTAACAACGAGCCGAGTTCGCGCATTATAAAACCTTTCGAGTTGTTCAACACGATCGCGCGTACGCTTTGTTACAAAACTGTTAAGTATATACTCGTATACGTTCCCGATGATAAATAAGTTAATTAATTTTAAGTAATACGCGTGTTGAAGGTGTATATATTTTGTAATACCAAATTAAGTAATGTGATATGTCCGGGTTACCGTTGCGAGTTGGTTCCGAAAGCATTGCATTGTTCTCCATCAGTTCCTTGTTTCCCCGTCCGTTTTTTTTTTTTTTTTCCAGATTTCCGGATCCGCGATACAGTAACACAGTCGGGCGTTAGAGTGTAGACTATTACCGCCTAGAACGTTTCTTCTCACTTGTGTACAACAATGCGTCCGTATTCTCTGGGTAGAAACCGCGGGGTCGTGGTCTATTGTTTCTAGGTTTTTCAACGGATTAAGCGTTAAAGGTGTTGAATTTTTCCGAGTTCCCCGTTTTGTTATTGGACTCCGCCGAAAGCCGGGTTCTTTAAAACAATTTTAGTCCAGACATTCATGCGTCGCAAAAGTTGATGTATTTGGCACATTCAGGCCGTACCTTGTTCTGATATAATAGTTTTAAACTGCGAAACGAGTTATTCGTTAATTGAATATAATTTTATATTATACAGTCGAATCGAAATATTTCGACGGTTCACTCTTTTCATTGTATTGTGGTGTTGGTTACAGTAAATTAATCATACGCGTAAGTTTAAGAAAATCAATAAAACATATTTAAACAACATTTCTCAGTATAATATCACTTTATATTATACATTAATATATATATAATATATATATATATATATATATATATATATATATATTAACACAAAATTTAATATATCTTGTAAATTATAATAAATAAGAAGAAGTATGTAAGAACATAATTTATAGACAATTTTATTATATTTAAAATATATTATGTAACAAATTTTAATTTTCCTAATTGTAAATGAGTTATATATGAAAATGTAAAATATATCATTAAATTATGAATGAATTAATATACTCAAATTTCAAATTCAAGTCGGCACGGGTTAACCGTAATAGATTGACTTAAAACTTTTTGTAGTTCATTTTTGTAAGCATATACACAAATTAAGTGGGTGAGACCAACAAAAATGCAAAAAAAAAATTTAAGGAACACCCTAATATATATATATATATATATATATATATAAATCGTTTTGTATAACTATAGAAGAATTCACTGATATTGTACATTATTTTCCAAGGGCTGAATTTACACATTATATTCTTATAGAGTAATAGACAAATTAAGATTATAAAATAATTTATTCAACATAAATGCATGTATAGATTCTATGAAAAATAAAATGCTGTGTTGTATTTTTACGTTTTTAAAATTATAATCTCAATATTGTATACAACAATAAACGTGTAACGCATAACATTTATAATATCGGATTTCTAAAATAGATGATCGATTTTTCGTGTTTTAAAAAAAACAATCACAGTTCCTTGATACTATTATTCCACAACTTCCGCTTGAAAAAATTAGTTTTTTTATCATATATAAGTCAATCTTATATTTAATTTTTCATGGTGTAAAAAAAACCTTGAAATATTTTCCTCTTCTGGTATTTAATGTGGACCGTGTCGTATGTTCGTAGTTCGTAAGATTATGTACTCATAATACGTGTTTGGACATCGAAGGACTAAAAATTATTATGTTTTTATAATTCTTTCTTTTTAGAAATAATATCTTCATTTTTCATTATGATTTACTATTATTATTCGTTATTTATTTTTTATCAAGAGTTACACGATTTTTTTTTTTTTTTATAATATCTTAAAGTGAATTATGTATATTTAGTTTTTAACACAAATAAAAAACTTACTACACTATTTCGTCACTGAAATTCTCCAGTAACTTCCGAAAAACTGCTAATTATCTGGAAAATGCCAATTAAAATATCCAGCGCATCGATTTTTACAGAATAATTATTTTATTTTTCGGTAGATTATTAATAATCCAGAATACTTAAAATTAAAATCAATAATTTATACACACATAAAATCTGTTTTCTATGTTTACTAATTTTTTTCAGTTCACGCAGACATCAATGCCGTAGAAAAAAATCATTTATATCACATCAAGTAGATAAACTAAAATATTGGTTAAACTTTTTATGAAAATAAGTTAAATGTTATAATAAGACGAAAAAAGTATTTCTTTAAATATTTTTAACCGATATGAACGATGAGCGTAATCATTTTGATCGTTTTCTAATGATCGTTTTCTGTGATTTTGATTACCACGTACTGTACGATCATCAAAATTGACAGTAATAAAATAATATTTGAAACGACCGCTGATATTATATTTGCATTACAGTAATCTGATTTTCACTTTTAAACATCCACATACGACGTCTTTATTAAGAGCTTCAGTTCGGAAACACTTCGAAAGTAAACAATTATAATAAGTGTCATCATGTGCTTGATGCGTAATATCATTTCGTTTTTTGTAAATTGCTCACAATACGGTTTACAATTAAAACGTGCTGTCATATACTTCACTTCAAGACGTAATGCACCCAATCAATGATCACTTTAAACGTCTGTTAACCGATGATAAATTAAACCATACAAGTTAATATTATTAATATTATTTATGTTAATACGTGCAAGAAAATGCAAGTTACATAAATGTATTTAAGTCTGTATATTTTTATCAACAGGTATCTATACCAGACGAATGGTCCGTTTTTTAAATTACGTTCACTGACGATCATAACCGTTTACGTTTCAAAACGTATCCAGTACGATTGCAAAAAAAAAAAAAAAAATACGTTTTTGCTAAGACAAGAAATATCGTAGCCAGCAGGCAGTCAATTTAGAAACGATTGTTACAATGAATTGTACACTACAACATTATGTTGCCGTGCAATGACTGTTTTACGTGGTCATAATACGGTTCGGTGATCTTTTGGTGATATTGCCGGCCGTAAGCAAAACTAGCGATCGTATTAAACGGTTTACGGAGACAACACTGTTAATCACTTAAAATTATGCATAGCACTTTTGATTTTCGTAATCGTCCATTGGAAACAACAACGGATGCGTTTGAAAACAAAATGCGATTTAAGGCGCTACCACGGCTGCGGGTTATTGCGTCAAATGTCGACTGCTTTCAGCCGAAATTTCATATTCAATTAAAACATTTTATTCATATTGCTAAATTATATAATTATATATTTATATGATACCATGGCCCGTACTCACTATTATTGTTGTTGTTGTATACTAGTATGTTGTTTTTGATGTATAAAATTATAATAAAGATAGTATGTTCCTATTATAGCATCTCTTGAACAAATAATGACTGACAATAAAGACGATGGTTCAATGGCTCGCTCATTCCATAAAAAAATGTGCGATTTTGAATTTATTATTACTCTATTTACTGTTGACAAATTGTTAAGTATTACATACCAAGTATTTGTTAATCTCCAAAAGCCTAATATTGATTTATGTACAGCTGTTGAAAGTATAGAAGTTGTTCAATCAATCATCAGTGAGATAAGATCAAATTTCGAGAGAAAATTTAAAGAATTATTTAAATGTGCCCCCTTAATGTAGCTAATAACCTCGGTGTTACAACATTTATGCCAAGAATTGTCGGTACACAAAATCATAGACAAAACATAATTACATAATATTTAGTTAAAAACATTTTAAGTCAACCTACTGTAGAAAAATGCTTAATTTATTATGTATCTTATTTAATAATTAATATATATTAATACATTTAAATTCCTATATTTGTATCATTTATGTCATAATTAAAACCACTTGTTCACTAAAAATTTCTATTTGTAGCTATGGTGGAGGTAAATTGGCCTATACTGAAAATAATTCCTATATATGCCACTGCTTTCACCAATTTATTCGTTATTGTCTTATGGTAATTGCGAACGCGGGTGATTGTCGGACGCATGCATTGGTGTAACCAAGGGAGGGGTGGGGGCTAAGAGGGCAATATCCCCTTCCTTATGAGCCGTGTTTTTGTGTATGTACTAAAATAGTACACTACTATTTGGTCTAACACTTACTTAATTTTATTATTATTATTCATTAAAGTTTAAAAAATGTTATTAAAACTATT